GGACGAGAGCGCTCAGCTAAGGCCATGATGAGGACAAAATTTTGCCCCGAATCGCCAGCGAGAAACCGAAACGTGGAGAAGGTACTAACTAAACACACGGCTCAATGCGTAGGCATTAGCGCTTAGCGTTCCTTTTTTTGTAGTGAACGTCTAAGTTGAGCTGTTGGAGCATCATGCTCCATCTCAGTAACCGGCCACTTTTAGGCGACGATACCTATGCGGTACTAAGGGCTGCTCGTATTTGCGACGTTGCAGATCTGTGCAACTACAATAGGGGAGTCCAGATTTCTCATAAAAAGGAACATTCCTTCTCAGCTGCTGCTTCTGGACTTCACTTAACCTAGGCTCTAGGTTCAACTGTTCCAAGATTACCTCCGATCCCCTTTCGATTACATCACTAGAACTCAAAATGTCTGCTCCCTCTTCCTCTGAAGCATTCAACAGCAGATTTACGACCGTTTGACGTTGAATGTATGGTTTCATCAAGTTACTGAGGTAAATTTTGTTCAGCCGCCTTCCTAATTTCACTTCATAATTCGTATCGGAAAGCTTGGATATTACTTTGGCGGGCCCTTCCCAATGAACCTCAAGCTTATTCTATTTGGACGGCTGCAACAGCATTACCTGGCTTCCTACTTCAGAAGCACGCTTCTTCACCGATTTGTCGTCGTACTCCTTCGACAACACTTGTGCAGCTTTCATGTGGCTTTCCACTAGCGCTTTAATCGAGAGGTCCTCACACTGCTCTCGAATGAGCGTTTCTCGATCAACCCTCGACAGCTCACTCCAACTTTCCGCTACAGGCAAGAGCGTTGCACCCCTTTCGCTCTGACTCAATGGCGCCATGTCGTCTCTCCCTGCTACGGAAACCGCGCCGGTCGCTTCGGCGACGGGCCGCTCGAGTGACTGCTCACATGACTCACACGGAAAATTTCTTCTCTGAGGTTCCGTCAACTCGCCGCCAAGATCACACAGATCTGCTGCTTTTGAACTTGTTTCACCACATAGAACATGATCAAGCTCCCGCGAAAGCTTCCGCGCTTGCGATCGCGTGAGGGCCATGTACGGTGAGTTACGGAAGAACGATTTACCCTGCTCTTTGAGAAGCTGCTCCGAGTTGTTAGAGAAAAGATAAGGAAAACGATGGGGAAGCGCGGCAGACACAGCCGCTTCGGTGCAAAGCTTACCGAACGGGCCTTCAATGACAACCGTGACGATTGGTAAGCAAGCACTCTGCTCCTCGACGACTTGCCTGATCCACGCGCATTTTCCTGTAAAGTCATCCGGAGACACCAATGAAGGATGGACAACATCCATGGTTGCCACAGAGTCACGAAGTGCTCGACAGGTTTTCCCATTCACACTAATTTCTTGGATATACGGCTCCAACAACTGCATGTTCTTTTCCGATTCTCGGATTGTTGCAAAAGCAAACTTTTGCTTACAGTTTATCGCGATGAGCCCTTCCTTTTTGCAGTTGTAGCACATTAGCGGCTTCCGTGATTCGAACGCCCGTGTGGTATCAGTGCGTTGTTTAGGAACCTCACTCGATTTCTCCGCTTCCGTTTGCCCTTCCCCTACAGTGTCCTTCGTAACAGACGGGTCCTTCTTGAAATTACGGTGCGGAGCGGGTTTCCGTTGATCAGGTTTCTTTGAAAAGCCCTCTTTCCTTTCATTCTTTTCAACGCACACTGCCCTGCTATGCAACTTTCGGCGAGTATAATACTCCTCAGCTAACTCTGCTGCCTTGTTTAGCTGTACTTCACCAAGTTTGTCCTGCAGCCAAAGTTTGACATCCTCCTCAATGCAGCGGTAGAATTGCTCCAAAGCAACGCATTCCACCACTTTATCGCGGTCGTCATAAACACCTTCGCCCTTGAGCCATTCAATTAAATAGGCTTTAAGACGAAACGCGAAGTCAACGTGTGACTCATTCCCCTTTTTAGCATACCGGAACCTTTGCCTGAAAGCCTCGGGTGACAACTTATAACGTCTCAAGAGCACTTCCTTAACCTCGTCATAGCTTTCAAACGCTTCCCTCGACAAGCAAGTTATCGCATCGGACACTTCGCCGGGAAGAAGAGCTAACAGGTTCTGCGCCCAAAGAGATCGCTCCAAAGCATTTCGCTCACAGACGTGTTCAAACTTGACGAGATACTTCGCCATGTCCTCGCCTACTACGAACGAAGGCAGTTGGTCCCGAATTCTATAAGCTCTGACCTGATCTGACAGAGAAGCTATGCTAGGCGCCTGCGAACACTGTAAGATTGCCAATTCTATCCGTTTCAACTCAAGGCGCTCCTGTCTCTCGGCCTCCTCACGGCGTTCTCGCTTTTAAGCTTCTTCACGTTCGCGAATTCCTCGCCTTTCGGCCTCCTCGCGGCATGCTTTGATATCTGCCCAGGCCTCATCGACTTCCTCAGCACTCCTCCAGCCTTCATGATCTCGAGGATCGCTTGCTTTCATTTCGCACGGCCCAAAGTAATGCCGAGTTCCTCACAAATTTCGATGAGTTCTTTCACTTTAAGGTTCTCCATCATTCACACTAGCCTCTTGCCGTTTGCCCTGTTAAGAATCTACTTGCCCACCCACTATAAACCTACTAGCAAGACGCGCAAGCAATTTTTAACACTCCCGTCTTTACCCCCTCCACATTAACTTTGGTTTCAAAGCACTTCGATTCTGCTTGAAACGATAAAAGCTCACTCTAATGCATAACACAGCCCTCCTCTAAACTACTACAACCTGAGCTAGAGTAGTCTGGTGAACTGAGGGGAAAACATCAGGCACTCACCGCATCGATGTAGCTTACGCTGGCCGATCCCGCAGCTGTCAACCACTGTTGCGAAGCGTGTCTCCAACGACGTTACGAAGGGCGCCCCGAATCCCACCGCTGCCACCACTGTTACGAAAGACGGCGACGCCAACACGGTCCCGAAGACGCCACTGCTTCGAACTCCGCTTGGAAGGTCACCAGCCGTTTGGTAGCGTAGGTTTCTCAGCTCGCGACTGCTTCTGCGCAGAGCTGATAGAGGAGCGGACAAGACGACGGTGAGTTAAACAAGGTTTATGTACAGCATATAACAAAGGCCTTACAAATTCGGCACTGGGGCCAACATCTTAGAGACCCGAAGAGCTGAGCTCTCCTCTCTAACACATAGGTCTGCTCTCAAATGGGTCTGCTAACACATAGCTCAACTGCGACACACATGTCTGCTCTCACATACGACTGCTGCGACACACCTCTGCTCTCAAACCGGTCTGCTAACACATAGCTCAACTCTCTATCACATAGCTCTCTTCTCTGACACACAGCTCAACTCTCCATCACATAGCTCTCTTCTCTGACACACATGTCTGCTCTCCAACAGGTCTGCTAACACATAGCTCAACTGCGACAAACATGTCTGCTGCTCGCGACGCGCCGCAGGGCTGCTCTTATATGCACCGGGTGGATTCTTTGAGAAACCAAATGTCCAACCAGAAGCGCCGCTGGTCGTGAGGTCAGAATCCTCCAATGGGGTCGCCGATGGGCCGCGTCATTCTTTCTCATCGAATCTGAAGAGGCTGCGCTGCAGGTGGCTGCACCCAAGGACGAGTGACGTCGCCAGGCATTGCGTCAGACCCGCCAGATAAAAAGGCGCCGGTTGCTCGCTCGATGGGCTCGCTGGCTTAGGTGACTCACTGCACGTGCGCAGCAGAAAGGCTGCCGCCGCGTGTTGACGCCGTTAAGTTGTTCGCGTCAGGTGGGCTGGCCTTGACACAAATTTCCTTTTTTCGAGGGATGGACGTTCGCTGCAGACTCGCAGGCATAACAGGGTGCACGTTAAAGAACCCCAGGTGGTTGAAATTTCCGGAGCCCCCTCCACTACGGCGTCTCTCAATCATATGGTGGTTTTAGGACAATAAACCCCACATATCAATCATGGAGCTTCACATTGCAACAAAAGCTGCGCACTTTGGTGCCAATACACAAAAGAACCACTTATTGTCGCTAAATATTGACTGTGTCACTTTGTGCATACAGTCTTGTATATCTTCTAAGTAAGAGAAAACTTCCCCCAATAAAGAAAAACTTTCGCTGAATTTTTCATAAGATTTCTCGTTAAATTTAAGGTGACTAACTTTTATATACGTTCCCTAACGATATGTATTTGGGAACCTTTTATTTGAACTTTCTCGAGGTAGCCGTATCACATTCAACAACAACAGTTGTGCCCTAATAGCTTCCACGCCCGAAGCAACGCACCTTCTAACGCCGTGTCGTATACTAACACAATGAAATCCGTTTTTTCCCTTCAGTTACAATAGGTTGCTGCAGTGGCGTAAATCTTAAAAAATTACTAGAGCGCGCGGTAAGAGAAGGGGGCATTTTATGGTCAGCATTCTGTTTCAAAAATTGCATTTTTATTATATAAGAACAATTCACGCTTTGCAATAAAAAACGGCACTGTTGATAAAGCATTTACAACAGGTTTTGTTGGCTTGCAGTCATAATACCTGTAAATAACGACACCATATACCACGGCGATGTTCTTTCGAGTGCACTTCTTCCCTGACAGCTAACCACATCGAATTCAGTGCTCGTCACGTGGCTCCGTCGTGCGAACATAATATGAAGTCATATGAAGCGACCAAGATAGCGCGTGGCAAGGCGCGAGACGGTACACGTACCACAGCGATCGTGATATGAAGAGCGCAGCCACCGCCGGCCATCATTTTGATGTTCGTCAATTGGAGGAGCTGCACCTACGTGTTCGACTTAGCGACGCTTCCGTCATCTAAGCTGCTGACGAAGACGACAAATATGGAACCTTCAGCTTAACAGCAGCAAGCGGTGCAGGCCAAGGGCAGCAAGACTGCGGTTTTACAAGCTGCTTCGACAGTGAGTGCCATCGACGGTGCCAAGAAGCGCCGTCGCCGCCGCCATGAGGGCTACAGCTGTTACATCTGCAAGGTACTCAAGGAAGTTCACCCTGACACTGGAATATCGGGCAAAGCGATGGCCATCATGAACAGCTTCGTGGCCGCTATCTTGGACCGTATCGGCAAAGAGGCAGCCAAGCTTTCCAGCTGTCCTCACGACAGCACTATCACTGCGCGTGAGATCCAGACCGTGACGCGGCTGCTGCTGCCCGGTGAGCTGGCCGGCCATGCTGTCTCTGAGGGAACCGAAGCAGTCAGCAGGCACACGTCCTCGCAGCCGGGTTTACCACCACCGGCGCCGCAGCAGTAGGCAGCCCTGCTGTACGTTTCGCACCTTCCAGGCAAACTGCCGACGCGGTGTGTGCTCGTTGTGGACGACACTCGGTGAACTTTTTTTTGTGTGTGGAAAGGGTTTTTTTTTGTTCTGTCTTTGGCAACATTTATCTTGGTAATAAATGAATGCAGACAGTGAGCTGTTAGTTAAAAGGAGAGTTTTGTCGATGCAGTTATGGGTGGTGTGAAAAAAATTTTAAATAGCAAAGAAGCCAAAAGCATTCAGAAGAAACGTCACCTGATGCTCGGGGTACCTTAAGTAAAGCGAGCTTTTGTTTAAGGTTTTACTGCTTAAATCATGTCCAGCGTTACGCTTGATGCAACGCTTGTTTATTGACGCATTACGATAACACAGGCGGATAGTGGAAAAAATGAAAAAGTGCGTGACAGGACGTGCACGGATGCACAGAACTGAGAGCAAACCAAAATAACAAAATGACAGTGGAAACTTTCTACCACCAGTGCCGGTAGATACATCCTGAGAGAGCTTGCAGTTCACCCGACAGAGATTGATACCAGTTACTGCAGCGCTCCTAGAAAACAAAGAGAGCGTATTACTGTGGCGCCAGCTGCACATAATCTATCTGTGCCTTTTGAGCTTGCCATGTTTCCTGAAAAAAAAAAGAACGAATTTTGCAAGTATTCAGTTTTGCTGGTGTGAGAAACCCTCAGAGAATTGATATACATAAATGAGTCATTATTTTTATATACATTGTTTCATTACCTTGCCACAAGTATCAGTTTATCGAGTGAATTACAAAACATTTTATGAAAAAAAAATCTTTTTTGGCGCCCTCTAGCTCAGTCGGCATGTAACTAGACTTACAATAGGCACAAAAATTTTTGACAACAAGAATAAACAACCAGGACGAGTTTTTTGAGAAATGTGAAAGTTTTCGGCCATATTTGTGATGGTCTGAAAAACACTGGTTGACTTGGAATGTTATGACCCAGTTATAAGGTGCAAACTGAATGTAAATTAACGAAAAAATGGGAGCGTTTTAGAGGGGCTTATTTTTATGTTAAACACAACAGTAGTTCAATTGACAATTAGGCTAGGAAATACATTGTGAACAATAACTATAACTATAGTGTATTAATTATGGTATCAATTACAGAGGTCATGACAGGTGAAAAATCAATGCTGCACTGAATGTAACACCAACCAACCTGTTACATTCACCAAAATTTTGTATTGAGCTTTCTTACACTGGTTTGCAAGGCACAACATACTAAACATGTGTGCACGGGTCAATGACCTATCTGCGCCCAGTCACAAAACCAGTAGAGTATACAGGAACCACGACTCCATAATAAATCACATTTAGTCAGCGTTCATACAACACATATGTGTTGGTTTAAATACCCTGCCACCACTCTTAAGGCAAAGGTAATGTCAATGAAAACGTTACCATTAACTTCAATCAAACTTACCAAGACGGTACCAGGACAGAAGCACTTTTGTGAAAAAAGAAAGCAGCAGGGCAAAATAGTCACCACCAATTTTTTTAATTCACGTCAAGGCTTCGAAATGCAGCTTTTTGTATAAAAGTCTTATAATGCATGTTCTGTGAACAATTCTCTGTGTGCTTTTTCAAGTGTATCCCACATGAGGCACAAGAAGGTAGGCTATTCTAGAATATGGCGATAACGCTTTAAAAACAAGCTGTCCATCATTCTGAAGTGCAGGGACAATGTTTTTCTGCACCAGGTAAGGCCAAAACTGCGCTCGTTCCTGCGATAGAACAAAAGCAACACTTTAAAGAAGAGTTGATGATTGGACTACTTTGTGCTTGGACATAAAAGCCATTGCGAGTAGCGTAACGAGACAGGACTAATATCACATACGAACAGACTAGCACAAACGCAACGCTATTACAACACTAAACAAAACTGAGCAAAATCTAAACATTCAGTGTCCATGCTGTTGAATTAATAGAAAAATGTTCTTTAACCACGCATGGTCTGTCCAACTAAGGTTAACAAGGCATGTTTTACAACAATGTCTTATTTTGGTGGTATCATGGACTTATTTTGGTGGTATCATATATGTTTTGCATGAAGAACATGCCAAGTGCTTGGTGAGCCAAAAACGCATAGAATAGCGCACAGCAGAGTTATAAAAGAACCGGCATTCGAAAGCGGGATTGTACTGAAAGACTTTTTTTTAACTGGTTCATTCCTGACTACGGGCCCTAATTCAAATGACTTTGGTGATGTTAGGTAAGGTAAAAGGCTAGTTTCAAAAACAAAACCAAGTTTCTCAAAAAAAATCAAAGCTTGTTGCGAAAGCACCCAACAAGAAAGTTGGAAGTATCACCTCACCATAATGTCGCAGAATTTGAAAATAAAGTAGACCGAGATGAATGGACCCACTGTTTTCTCAACCCCTCCTAATATTTATGCCTTAATTCGGGAGGTGAAACCCTGAGTGCCTGTGAGAAAATTCATTGTAGACCTTTGTTTCATGCAAAGTGCTCATCATCACTAAATCTCTTCATAGTATGGAATGAACGAGAAAATGGGGAATGATAAGAGTTCGTTTTCCAACCTTAACAAAATGTTAAAAATCACATTAAAACCAATGAAAATATAAGGGGTGTTATTTCAAGTAATTATAGTGAAATTGTGGGAAAGGTGCACAAAATGATAGTTTTCCTTTCGTAAAGACCAAACCTGCTAACTTGAAATACGTCTGATGCTCCACCAACTTCTTTTGTCATTAGTTCTAACAAAGGTACCTAATGCAGGTGCACAAGCCCTTAAAGTTCCCCTTATTCTGTTCATTCATAGTGAGGGTCTCATTCTGTCAGACTGGATAACCTCAGGTAGTATAGAAAGATTATTAGTCAGCTTCCAACACGTACAATATTACGTGCTTTAGCATTCCAGCAAGCGGGAAAAGTGTTCCATACTCGCCGTCACGGCTACTAGCAGTGTTGACACTCTCAGCACATACATGGGTCGTGTAGCCATATATTTGTTGCAACCTGTACTTCTGTGTGTGCGTTTTCTTTCCCTGAAAATTCGAGCTTATTTTGATAAGTCTTTTGTATATGAAGAGATTTTGAAAAAACATGTTTATTCAAGACGCTGCTAAGTCATTCTAAAGCCTTTGAAGTATTGAGCACCGACATAGTTTTGCCAATGGCTCTTTCATTAATAAAATGCATTTTTGTAGATTATTTTTGAAAGGTTTTTAAATAACCCTTGCCACCAAATTAGGAAATTCGAAATGCTTGTGTTGTTCAACAGTCCAGCATGCGGAGGCACTTATGACCAATTATTATTGAAGAGCGCTGCCTATAAAATAGTTCAATTTGGTTTTAGGATAGGGTGAGTACTCATCCGAGTTATTAGCACCAATCGACATCTCTGATTTGATGCAAACAGGTCGCGCGTGACATTCTGTGAGTAAGGGGAGTATTGCCGACGACAGAAAACATTTGTGGTGTGCGCACCATACCCTAACTGGCACCCGTTGAGGAGTGCCACCTCACCCCTCTCACTTTGTTGCCAGGCTGCTCTCAAAGTGGTTTTGGCTGCTTACGGCAGTAGTTGTCCTCTTTTTATTTCAGGGGGATATGATCAAAGGCCTCCCATTGTTTATTTATTTTTCACCACCTGCAGGTCTACTCATTTTTAATACTGCATGCACTAAAGCATCGATCGGGAGAGCGATGCTTGTCTTTTAGGATACTTAGGTAGGCATTTTCAATCGACACAATATCGTAATTAATACACTAGTATTGATTATACAAGGTGATATGATCAAAGGCCTCCCGTTGTTTATTTATACTTCACCACCTGCAGGTCTACTCATTTTTGATACTGCATGCACTGACGCATTGATCGGGAGAGCGATGCTTGTCTTTCAGGATACTTAGGTAGGCATTTTCAATCGACACATATCGTAATGAATGCACTAGTATTGATTATACAATCTGTTAGAGCAGTTATGTTTCAATGTCGGTATTACCACAATAAAAGCTACAAATTCCTGTAAAAAAGTAGCAAAAAAATCTTTTGCTGTCAGGAGTTTTTAAAGGGCACGCGCACAAGTTTCTCTGGAGGGGCATGGTGATGTGCATTGCAGGTAGATTTCACTTTGGTGAACAGGCAAGAGTCTAGTTGTGCTAAGTGCAGTAAGGAAATTGGGGAATCTTAGAAACTTCATTTAGGTCAGGTGGTCATGTATTGGGAGGCGAACTCAAACGTTGATGCACAGTCATGTCGCTATTTATTCGGTTGCTCCATTAGACACTGGCACAGTCCCTCAACACGAGTCCACTAAAACTTCATCTAGCCTAACAAAACACTGAGATGACTGACATTTGGCACATAAGGGAGGTTACATCTGCCGCCGCAGTGTGTGCACGTTGCATGTGTGCCTGTGATGTAATCGTGCCAGAAAAAAAAGGTTCTTTCTTATACTTCTTATACACATACACACTCTGTTTATATATATTTATAATTGTCTGTCACAAAGCACATCCTTTCTTTTTTTTGAAGAGGTCCTGAGTGCAAGCCAGGCAGACCCCCTAAAGAATAAAAGAGACCACCACTGGCCCAAACAACTTTGTTCTTTTTGCAACATGTAGAGTTACCCACCGTTTTTTCAGACGCTGAAAATTCTAACATGTTCATTCATTCGGACATCTCTGTGGCACCGCCACTAATCGCTTAGAAGCATTGCAAATACGGGACCGAGAATTTGGATGCCTCACGGTGCACCATTCAGATTTTCCGGACTCCGGCTGCCTGATTGAATGCGGCATGGAATGCCATAACCAGCTGCCCGCGTTGTTTTTACAATAGTTTCACTAGGTTGCCAGCACTAAAAAGTAGCAGTTGCTATGGCTGGAGATTGTGTCAGGGTAAAAGCCAATGCAGACTTCGAAGGCCATGTGTTTTTGGGCTGAATGTAATGGCTGTTTTTTTTAACAGTATTCATTGAATGACTACCACAACCAAACTGCAAGCCAAGCCATGCCATACTAAGAATCGGCTTCTTTATCGCTTGAATTGGCCACACGTACGCAGCAAACAGAGAAACACGAGTGC